GCTGCACGGACATCGTATCAGCTTAAAATACTTTACAAGATTACTCTATTAGCTATGTTTGTAATCACCTTTCTTCCCATGAGATAAAGGTGGCATAACCTGGCTCCCCAGGTTCAACTCTCAAGTTGATGAAGCCAAGAGAGAATGACTGCTCAAAGTTACCTAGTGAGTTCCATCCATTCGTGCAACAATTTGAACCATGTCACCCAAATCCCAGGCCAACATCACTTTTTTTTCCACTATACTATGTTGCCCCATCAGGACGGATGCAGAAGAAACATGGGAGATGGTGCTCTTCAGGGAAAAAGCACAATGAACTGAACAGCAATCTTCTTAATAAGTTTTTTAAATCACTTTACTAAAATTATATACAGCAGAAATGTGGAACTGCTAAGGACTGCAAGCGTCATCAGTTTCAGCTCACTGCCAATGAAAAATACCCAGAACCACGGTATCTCTGACATTGGGCCATCATGCCTCTTATTAAAATCCTCCAGCAGGAATCTACCACTATTCTGGAGGAGTCTGTTCCATTTGCTGAACACAGTGAAGAGGCAACAAAATAGCTTGAACATGAACATTGGTCTATTTGTACCAAATAAACAATTCAAGAAGCTTACCCTGGCTAATCTATGCTTTGGTTCATTTTTCTTTGCATAGTCCAGGGAATCATAGATCATGCCAAAACCTGTTGTCTTTCCACCACCAAAGTGGGTCCTGAAGCCAAAGACAAAAATGACGTCTGGTGTTGTCTTGTACATTTTGGCCAACTTTTCACGAATTTCAGTTTTGGGGACAGTGGCCTTTCCAGGATGAAGAACATCAATTACCTAAAATTAAAAAGAAAAAAATGACCAAACCAATGTATCTCTTAAAATATTTTGTATACAGTGAAAGCAGAACTCTAACAAGCAAACATAGGTCTCACAGATGTGTGGTTGCTGGTCACCACCTGTAAGCCCTACACATGCTGTATGTGTACTTGCCCTCTGCCACATCACTACATAAACTGGGCACTTCTAAAGGGGGGACTCTTGGTGTTACGAAGCGAAGAACACTGCACATCCATGAGAGAATGCAGTGCAATTTTTTAAAATACATCCATAGAACCCTCTATTACAACAACTGCATCCTTACAACAATCAATTTCAACTTACACAAAACAACTAATGCATTGCTTAGCTTACAGCTCCGAACAGAGTTGGAATCTTAAATTTAAGACCAACAATAGCCACTATGGTTAGCTCCAGTTCTTTTGCAACAAATCACCAGGCCACTGAGTTTTGCTATTTGTACATAAATCTAAGTTGCGCATTTAGGGCAAGACAACCGTGCTGTGAAAAATAAAATAATGCACTTGCTTTCTGCAGACATAAAGAACAACTTTCAAAAAGCTTCTAAACGAAACACAATAAATAAAAAGTGTTCTGGCAATTCAATTTGTTAGCATGATACAGAGATCTCCTAATGATCATACAATGGCATCATTCCCAAAAATGAACTTAATGGAGAAAACATGTACTATATTTTAGTAACCTTTAGGAAATGGCCACTACTATCTGCTCAACAAGACTTGTTTATAAATCAATCAGAAACTATTAGCAAAATATAAAGATACAAATAAAGCACCATCTCAAAAGTTTTCAAAACTCCGGCCACAATACAAATTAAACAGAAGTATCAAGAGCATCTTCTCACCATCTGCTTACGTTGAAGCAGCCTGTTGGTCATGAACTTCCTCGTTCTGATGGTCACCGTGTCATTCTGCAAGGCAAAGAAAACACAAAAATCGCATCAGCGCTCACTTGTGCTGCCTTATCAAAGCAACTGCTGTTTTTTTCAACGCCCCGATAATATACTCGTTTCAAAGGAAAGAAAATCCAACTGAACCTACGGCCTACCAGATGTTGCAGAACTACAACTCCCATCACACCTGACCCCTGTTGTAGGACGACTGGGAGCTGGAGTCATACTTCATCCGTTAGGTTACAGATAAAATAAATAAAGCAGGATACTCCCCTCTATCACCCCATTCTAGTGCCTAAAAGCAGGCAGAACACAAGTACTTTTCGGCCACAGGAAGAGGGGGGACAGCCCGACTCGGAGCGAGATTCCTCGAACCCTCTCTTTCCACCCAATAATCACCCAAAGCCAGTCTGGGAGCCCAAGTGGAAGCGGGGCGGCCGCCCCAAAGGCTGGAAAGCCAAGGATGGCGCCGAGCGAAGGCGGATTGAAAGCCTTTCCCCACAACCGGGCGAGGCCGCAGAAGAACTCACCATCTTGGCGACCTCCCCTGCTATCACGAAAGGAGGAAAGAAGGAAGGGGATCTCGGCAGCCAATCATATAGCGGCGCGAGAAGGAAAGGCGGGGGCAACGGGCAAGGGGGCGGGATCGTCGCCTCGGGAGGTAGGGCCGCCGGAAGGAGCCTCACTGGAAACCTACGAGAGGAAGACCATAGAGAGCGCTCGAGAGAGAGGGAGAAACCATAGAGACGGTCTCGGGTTCTGTCTGAGATATGGAGAGAGGGAGGGAGGATAGGGAGGGAGAATAGGTATGTTTTAGGAGGTCATTGTCCAAAATCATTCCCTATTTGTTCAAGCCTTTCTGCTTCCGTGGAAACTTCGGGTTCTTCCTAGTTCAGCTAAGCACAGCCTAATAAATAGGGGTGCAGTTTTTTAATACTAATAATAAAAAAAAACCCTAACCCTATGCTATTTATTTTTACACAAAAGTAAGTCGTATTCTTGAAGCATGGTTGGCATAATAAGCCGTGAAAACCGATATTTACGTGGACGGAAGACTCGCTGTGTGCGCGGAATCCTGCGCCGCCTCTTGGGGGGGGGTACAACTCTACTGTGTCCAATAGGACCTATTTCTGGACTCAGCATGCATGGGGCCGCCGGCGGAAAGTTTCTTCCACGAAAATAAAAGTCGTGCAGCATCATTAAGACGAACAGGTCTATTACCGAACGAGTTTTTCTGAGCACGCACTCTTTATTCCAAAAGGAATCTGCATCCTCAGATTTTTTTTCCAGGAAGAATTTAGCCACAGCTGGGAAATGTTGTGCTTGGTAGCTTAGCTTGCTTTGTATGGGGAGGAGGGGGAGGAAATCACCAGGTCCGTGACGACCTTGAACCTTCTGTTTCTTCCTTAGGCCTACAAGAAACTCCACTGAAGATCAGGGCTGTCCCAGGGGATTAGGGAGCAGACTTGTTTCCCTCGAAATAGAGGGGGAAACACCCTCGCTGGGTGTTTTTAAAAGCCGGCTAAAAACCTGGCTCTTCAGGCAGGCCTTCCCTCCAGTCAGTTAACCGATCCCTATCCTTCTTGTTTGAGTTATGCCATCTTGGGTATATGCTGCTTAAAAATAGGTGTTAAAACTGTTTTAGATTACTTTTATACTGTTTATATTGCTCTGTTTTTATTCATGCAAGCCACCCTGAGTAGATGTTGTCTAGAGGGGCAGGATAATAAGTCTAATAATAAATAAAAAAGAAAAAGAAAAAAGGTGAAGTCCGTGCTCTAATGTGTTTTCATTGGGGCTGGAAATTACCGTTTAAACAAATGCCAATGCCTAAACGCTTCATTATTCCGGTAATGGAGGCGTGGGAGAGGATCGGAGCATGGAGATATCAGTTTGACGTACTGTATTTGCATTATAGTCCACTGGAAAGGGGGAAACACCCCTTACAGAACACCCATCAAGTACTGTAACGGCTTCAGTACCAGTCAAACAACTAATCGGCCCTTCAGGTCCAATCCCAGCACATATGCAGTGCTAAGTTACTTCGGACATTTGCACTGCAGTGATTTTTTGCAGGCACATGTTTGTGTAGTGCAGTGGATAGAATGACGGACCTAGGACCATGGAGACAGGTTTTGAAGCCCTGCTCAGTCATGGAAACTTGTTGAGAGAATGAAATCACTCCTTAAATGTCTGGCTTACCTTGAAAGCCCTCTTAGGATCACTATAACTCGGTTCCAACTTGATGGCACATAAAGTTGGGATTTAAAATGTGTAAGGCTTCAGAGGAATTACCCCACTTTGAAAGCAAAACTGACTTAGAAAAAGTAGGAAACTCCTGTTGATGTTACTTTCTGGGCATGCGTTGGGGAGGAACAGAAGTTGGACCTCACATAGGTATCCTGAAGTTCAAAACTGCAGTCCAGTATCCCTTTACTCGTGTAGGAATAAGTCCTGCAGAAGTTAGGAGGACTAACTGTTGAGTTCACATGCATAAGATTTTGTTGTAAATCTAGAGTTACCACTTTCAGATGAATCGCTGTAATGTAGCAGATAAGTGTCAAACTGGGGCTTAGGAGACGACGATTTGAATATCCATTTGGCCATGGACACTCACTAGGCTAGGGCTTGGCACTGGTCAAATCACTTCTTAAATATCTGAAATACGTACATCATCGTTTAGTCGTGTCCGACTCTTCGTGACCCCATGGACCAGAGCACACCAGGCCCTCCTATCTTCCACTGCCTCCCAGAGTTGGGTCAAATTCATTCTGGAAGCTTCGATGACCCAGTCCAACCATCTCATCCTCTGTCGTCCCCTTCTCCTCTTGCCTTCCTACTTTCTGAACATCAGGGTCTTTTCCAGGGAGTCTTCTCTTCTCATGAGATGCCCAAAGGAATGGAGCCTCAGCTTCAGGATCTGTCCTTCCAGTGAGCACTCAGGGTTGATTTCCCTCAGAATGGACAGATTTGTTCTCCTTGCAGTCCAGGGGACTCTCAAGAGTCTCCTCCAGCACCACAATTCATGTACAGTACTGTACCTTGGAAACCCTGCTACAGTTGCCATGAGTTATTATTACGTATGACCAGAGTTGCACCTCCAGCCCAATAGGTGGCGCTCCAGCGTTGGCGTGCTTTGGGCTTATACGTCACAGAAGGGTGGTCTCTGGCCGGTGCCGGTTCCTCTCCGCTTTGGGGAGGGGGCGGGGAGAAGGAGGGGCCATTTCGTTGGTCCATCCGTCGCTGACCAAGGCGAAGGCGGGCACGTGGACAGCCCTTTTCTGCCGCCTGCCTGGCTTCGTTCTTCGTCTCTGCTTCGAGCGCAGCCGTCGCCATGGTGAAGGAGCAGTTCCGCGAGACGGACGTGGCGAAGAAGATGTAAGCCCGGTGGGGGGTGCGCGCGGAATGCTGTATGCGTCGGTGCGGAGGCGGGGCTTGGGCTGCGATTGACAGGAGACGGGAAGCGATCGAGAGCCCACCCGGGGGGGGGGCGGGAGTGATGGGCAGGGGG